AAGGAGTTGCCTTTGAAGGTGACCGGAGATGATCAGAAGAGATATTGAAGAAGGTAAAAGGAATCGATGGGTTTACCCTATTTAACCTAGTGACAGAGGAGAGAGGGTATGATTTGACTGCGTGATGATTACTATTGAACGGATAGATCCTATCTGATTAGGGTTTAAAATTCAAATCTCTTATCTATTTTATTCATTATTTTTAAAATTATACCTCTAAATATCCATAAACTAACATTTATATTTCGTAGGTATAATTTGGGGGCAATTGTTAGGGGCATGATCCCAAAATCATATTCAGGATCCTTAATATTGTTGAAACCTCAGGATCCTTAAAATATATCGCAGGATCCTGATTATTATTACTAATATTTCCTAACACCTATAACGGTTATGTTATTTCTCACTCTTTTTCTCATATGTGCAGAATTATTCAACATGGGACTCATTATCAACGGAGAGTCGTCTCAACCAGGCAAAAGACCAGGAATACCAAGTCAAATAACGTTCATATGCTGATTCCGGAGGATCCCGGAATTATCGGATATCTTGTTACTTGCATTAGACTATAAATAACACATGTATTTAGCACACTACACACGATTAGCTTGATTACTACACTTGTACTCATATTACCTTCATCATCTTTGTAATCTCATATTTAAATCAATAAAACACATCAACGAAGGTGATCATTGTCACCTCCCAAGGTTTTATGTCGGGGATCCTATAAAGGATCAAGGGCTTTCCTTGTAACTCACTTGTCTCACTTTAATCATTATTCTATACTTACATTATACTAACATCACAACCTCTCATACAACATGGTCTAATTGCACGTGATCATTTTTTGACCAGAACAGTGACGATTGGGGTTTTCCTCGATTAACTTGGGATGATTCTGTCACGACATGATGACATGTACATCACGACGTGACGATGGTTTGGATCAAGAATGAGTTGAGCTGACTGAGTTGAGTCGTAGCTGAGTAGGACCTAGTTGATTCTGTTTCCCACGACGTGACCATGAGCTAGTCAGGACGTGAGGGTCAGCTAATGGAAGTGATGACCGTTGACATTGACCTTGATCATTGACTTGTTGACCTGGTTTGACTTTTGGTCCAAAGTGGCTAGTTTTAGAGGTTACACTAAGGTGGTACCTTGTTTGATTCAATAGGTGTGTTGTAGTACCGTTTGCGTGGAGTTGAGTTGTGTTTTTAGCTGACTTTGTGAGACAGGTGAGTCTTCTCACTATATTGTGTAGGATGTTATATGTCTTTGTGACTCTTGAATTTGTATGTTGGGTTGAGCCCATTAGTATGTATGTTGGGTTGGGCCCATTTTTATGTATGTTGGGATGGGCTTATTTGTTTGGTGGGTTAAGGGCCATTAGTATGTATGTTGGGCTAAGCCCATTCTTATGTATGTTGGGTTGGGCCCTTTTGCATGTTGGGTTGGGCCCATTTGTATGTATGTTGGGTTGGGCCCATTTATATGGTATGCGGTATTTTGGGGGACTCACTAAGCTTTGTGCTTACGGTTTTGTGGTTTAACATTTTTAGATACTTCCGGTTCTAAAGGGAAAGGTCTGGCTTGACTACACAACATTCCCCTATGATTTTCCACATTGATGACTATTGTTTTACTCTGATGTTTAGATACATTTTTATCATGATTGGTTTTTGGAACACTTGATGTATGAATTGGATGATTTATAAATAAAATAAAAATTACCAGTATTTTTGGGATGTTACATAAACTCTAAACTACATGCTGGAAAAAACTTTATGTGAATTTAACTTCAAACAAATGAGATGTGTGTTTTAAATTTTTCACGGAATATAAAGTACAAAAACAAATAGCTGAAAATTTCCAGCTTTGATATCCTGACTTCGAGATACTGTAAGTCATTGAATATTAAACCAAAAATTACAAAATTATAGTCTAAAATCATGTACAAACTCTAAACTACACGTTGGAAAAAAAATCGTGTCAATTCGACTTCAAACGAATGAACTATTCACTTTTTAAAAGTTTCACAGAATAAAAATAAAAAAATAAATAAATAAAAAACCTAAGACTTAAAAATTTCAGCTTAGATATCCTGACTTTGGGGGATTGTAATTCATTGAATACAAAACCAAAATGACAAATTTACATTCTAAAATCATGTACAAACTATAAACTATACACTGAAAAAAACTGCATGTCAATCTGACTTCAAATGAATAAGATATGTATGGTTTAAACTTTTCACAGAAACTGGTTTCAACCCCTCAAAACCGGGTTATCCGAACCCGAAGGACCCAAACCTAGATTACCCGAAGCCCAGAAAAAGCCATTTTTGAAACCCGAAACTCGAACTGGTTCTACATATTCATGTTCTAATGATTCCGGTTTCAGTCCTGTTTTCCAGTTTTAAATCTTATTCCTACAATAAAGTAATAAGAAAACAAAATTAATCCAATACAATTCAAAATAAATAAAAGTATTAAGAAAATACTTATTATTATTATTATTATATATATATATATATATATATATATATATATATATATATATATATATAGAGAGAGAGAGAGAGAGAGAGGTTCAAATATTTCTCACATCTATTGTGTGCTAGAATGCACCAATAAGAATTTAGTATTAATTATATGTATATTAAATGCTATCCATACTTATAATTCATTTTTATGGAAACTAATTAAATTCTTCATTAATGTCAACAATAATATTCTTTCAGAATGAATTCATATCTAGAAGAATGAGAGTGTCTTCCAGCAGAATGAGAGTATATTCTAGTAGAATACAGTCTCGTTCTTCGTATTCCATGCATAAAAACCTAGATGCGAATTTATTCTGAAAGAATGTTATTGCTGACATTAGTGACGGATTTAATTAGTTTCCATAAAAAGAGAATTATAATTATGGATATCATTTAATTTATATATAATTATGGAAATCATTTAATATATATATTTATTTAATTATAAAAATTACCAGTATTTTTGGGATGTTACATAAACTCTAAACTACATGCTGGAAAAAACTTTATGTGAATTTAACTTCAAACAAATGAGATGTGTGTATTAAATTTTTCACGGAATATAAAGTACAAAAACAAATAGCTGAAAATTTCCAGCTTTGATATCCTGACTTCGAGAGACCGTAAGTCATTGAATATTAAACCAAAAATTACAAAATTATAGTCTAAAATCATGTACAAACTCTAAACTACACGTTGGAAAAAAAATTGTGTCAATTCGACTAGCATTTAATATACATATAATTAATACTAATTCATTTAATATATATATATATATATATATATATATATATATATATATATATATATATATATATTGGCAAAAAAACATTCTTATAATTTTTTGCAAAGGGAACTTCCCTAACGAGGTTTCCGGGCCAGCTTTCGCGCACCGACTAATCCCCCGCTGCAAACATGAGGCTTTGCCTCATGCCCTGGAGTCACTGCAGGCGAACCTCCATGGCCACAAGGGCTGAGTAGTGCCAGGATTTGAACATGGGTCAATAGGTTATCCACCATATCTTCCACATGCCTTACCAAGTCACCACAACCCAAATGGTTTTCTTATAATTTATATACAGTTTAATTAGACTTTTCTATTTTCAATTTTATAGCAAAATACTAAACAATCAATAAAACTTCAGTTACAAAAATATAATAAAAAATAAATAAAAACAAAAACAAAAACAATGATAGATTTTTATTTTTTATGGTTTTAGTTTCAGCTTTTCTACACAACTGCAAACTTCCTTTAAAATCGTTTGTTCATTTCCAAAATTTCTCAAAAATTCTATCAGAAACCCTCAAAGAGCATTCTTCAAAAGGGGTACATCTTAAGACGAGACTAATCTTTCTTACTAAAACATAAAGAGCCACTCATTCAAATATGAAGGGATCGGTGTATAACTCAACCTCGAACCTCCTACGTATAAAATAACTAAGCAACACAACTACTAACTTCCTTTAAAATCATGTGGTCATTTCCAAAATTCAAAATAAGTCATGTCACTGTTGTATTAAATTTGTTGTAATCAAGTTACTCATGCAAATTTTAACTAGGTTTCAAAACTAAGATTTGACCTAAAGTGTAAAATTGAATAATGATTTTTATTCCAAAACTAAACATAAAAGGTGATGTTCGTTTTTTAAAAGGTAAAATGTGTTTGGTCTTATAACATGTCTTCAGAATGAGATGTAGACTAAAAGTATTTTTCTGTAACTTTGTTTTCATAAAAAGAAAACATGTGTGTTTTCTAAAGTCTATGGGCCAGTGGTGGAGGTGGTGGCGTCGGTGGTGGTAATGGTGGTGATGGTGATGGTGTCGTTTGTGTTGGCAGAGATGTCGGTGGTAGAAAAAGAAATATTACATCAGGACAAGAACTTAGAAAACGTCTTCCAAAAACATAAACTATTTTTTCTTCTAAAAAATATGTCAAAAATACGTTTTGATACCTTATCTTCCGAAAAACAGTCTTTTCCTCAAATGTATTCACCCTCCGTATATAAGTGATCAAAAAGACTATTTGCCAAAAAAAAAAATAATAAATAAAATTAAAAAAAAATACCACCTAATACTATGTTTGGTGGATTAGTTGACAAGCCGACTAATAGCTAAAATCAACTGCTATCTAAAAGGTTTGTTGCTAGCCGATTAAAAAAACAATATTTTATAAAACTAGTTAATAAGCTAGCTAAAACATGTAAAATAAAGGCATAAAATGACATGTAGTAGACTGAATTTTTTTTTTAATTATTAATAAAGGATAAATTTCTGTGAACTTGAAAAAAGCTCAATAAATTTGTTAAAACGCTAGTCTAAATAATTAAAAATAAAACTTATAAGGTACTTTTTGATTTGTGAAACATGAGAAAAATAAGTTTAAATTTGTGATGCCAAACGCAGCCTAATAATAATAATAATAATTAATAAAATATAAATTAGTAAGGTATGAAAAGTTTGAGAAGTTGATAAATACAAAATGAGAAACAAAACTGAATTTCAAACCTTGGTGGGTACTAAAATATGAAGAAAAAAAAAAAGAATGGTCAAGAAACTGAAACTTGGGTCTCGCTAATCACAAAAGCTTGAATAAGACTCTGTGCGGCATGAGCCTGCTCGGGTGTACCGGATATTATGATGAGAGTTTCTTTTTCTCCGGGTTTTGGATCGGTTATTGTAATCCGAGCATCAGAAATCTGAAAACAACAAACCAATTAATTATAGCATCATACTTTGCAACCAATCTAACTCCATACCATATAAATTATAAAATAAGGGAATTCTACACACAAGTAACCATTTATAGCATCATACTTTCCTTTTTCAAAATCTACACAATTATAACAGCACTGCTATTAGGTTTTTCAAAGTGCAAAGAAACAAATTAATGCTATTTCTTCTTACATTACATACCTCACGGATTTGTTTCAGACATCCACCATCCTCTCCGTATATACAAGGAACAACATTGCGTGGGACAATCACTTCCACGGTAGTGTTTGTAATAATAGCTTGGTGGCTTCCTCTGTCACACAAAGCAATTATTACTTGATTTATTTATTTATTTATTTATTTATTGTAATGAATTCAAATATAAACATATGCATACAAAGAAGAAGACACACCCTCCAAATCCACCCATTCTCCTTTGGGGGGCTCCCGCTCCTCCATATTCAGAAAAGCCAATAGCTCCACCTTCAATACCCTGTTGTATGTATATCAAATGTATTTATTATTCCCACCAACTTTCATATCTTGTCTAATAACTTCGCACTTCACATTCTTTTTCTTCTAATTAACTCTTCTATTTGTATAAATTATGTCTACCAAAAATTCAACATACATGGGGATGGTGAAATGGAAATGGAAGGAAAAAAATACAATGTTTTTTTTATCTGTCACATGTTTTGCTTGGCAGGGAATTCAATAACAAATTTTAAAAAGTTATTTTTTTTTATTTATATCTATTAAACCACATATATATGTTTTTCTTCTCCTTTTGTGAATTGAAATTATAATTTACGATTAGGGGTATATAATAAAATCATGAATTGCGATTCAATATTCAATTACAAAGAAGTATACTATTAATGTTTCACTTTTTCTACTTATCGTTTCAATTAAATTACATTTACTGTTAACTGTTTTATTAAATTGTTCATGGATGTGGTTGTAATATGCATGTGTTGTATCAAATGAATTCTATTACAATATTTATCAAATGTACCTACCTGCAAATGCAAAAACATTTTTTGGTTTTCATACTTCCATTTAATGCTAAGTTGGGTTGAAATTGATTCGATGATTGAGTTGTAATATGCATATATATATCGATTTAATAGTGTGATAGAGTTTTACTGCTGCATTCCGTTACAATATTTACTATTTACAATTCTTTAATTTCTATTCAATTCTATCGGAATGGTTGTATATTTGAGAATAAATTAAAATTCTTTAATTTCTATCGCATTGTATCAGAATTTATAGTTTTATTTTAAAACTATATGTTTTTATTTTTGAAAGTTGATTATGTTTTCCTTGTGGATTTAGGTTTTGAAGAGGCTGCAATTGATGTGGAAAAAAAATAAACATGGAGAACGAAAATATATTCTAGGAAAATATATTATGCTAGAATATAGCGATTCTTAGCAATAATATTCTTTCATAATGTAATAGTGTTTTTGTTAGATTTTGATTTTTTTTTTTTCGATTTTTAATAGTTCTTAGTTTTATTCTTTATGAATAAAAGCAATTATTAGTCGTATTCCTAATAATTCTTAGCAATTATTAGTCGTATTCTTTCAGAATGCATGTAATTTATGTTCATAGTTGCATTTTTTAAGAATGAATTAATTATTGCCTAAAATCTATAATTTTCCTTTTTAAAATTTATGTTAATTGACTAAAATACCCTTACAATGAAATTAGATAGTATTTTTCAATTATCTTTAATTCAATAATAATTATCAATTACTTTCTTAAAAATAACTAAAATGGTTGGTCCACAATTAACCCTACGTCCACACAATAGATAGTTAGAATACAATAACCTAGCCCTATATATATATATATATATATATATATATATATATATATATATATATATATATATAGAGAGAGAGAGAGAGCTAGGTTCAAATGTTTTTAGCAAGTATGGTGTGCCTAAATGCACCAATGAGAATTCAAGAAATAATAAACAATCAAATAAATCATTTAAGGGTATTTTGGACCTTTTATACTTTTAATTAAGGAAATCATTTAATTGAATCTTGCAATTAAGGAAATAAAATAAGTATATTTAACCTAGCCTCTCTTAAATCCTGTCTAATAAAACCTCCAAAATCCTCAAATCCTTTTCACTCCAAGTTCACCAACCGGACCACCAGGTTCAATCCCCTGCCCACTCTACCGCCATGGAAACGTCTCCTACAAGAAGCTCACAACCACAAAACCGCTTCCCCAAACGTTGAAATCCACCTCATCCCTCTTATGCTGCTCGTATTCTTCAATGGCGGAGACCGATGATACAATTGCAATTGAAAAATTCTTCAATGGCGGAAGATGCGAAGGAAGGCAGTCAACGGTTCTTCGTTCCTCTCCCGTCGTCGGCAGCAAAGAAGATCAAGGGGAAGATCCCCCGGTGCTCATCTTCGTCGGATTAAGGAGGAGAAGCACGATTGGAATCAGAAATCGGGAAGCACCTCCAGTGCTTCACCGATTCGAAGGAGGAGGAAATTATCGATTCCCGGTGAGCCTTCCTTGACCGTCATCGGTAGAAATCGAGGTAAACGAGTCGTTTTCTTGTATGATTTCGACGAAATAAACGGAGGGAGGAAAGGGGAAACTATTTATGTGGTTCTTGTATGATCGAAGATGAGGATGTTTGAATGAAATCGGAACAAGGATGGTAGACTCCGAGATTTTTACTGGATCGTGGGTGAAATTAGGAAGCAATATGCTGCTCGTATTCTTCAATGGCGGAGACCGATGAAGAAGATGATGTTGAATCTGGGTTCATGTAGAATTGGGGATAAAGGCATGGCACTTATCAGGTAATTACACCATATTAAAAATTCTTTCAATTTTAGCATTTGGTTGAGCACATAAACGAAGTTCATTATCAACTCCAGTAACAACCCTAGAGTCTGAAGAAGAAGATGTTGATTTAATTTTGAAGCCCTTTTAGCCACCAAAGCCTTGTCAGAATCCATTTAGCGCTCTCATGATAATGCTTCAAAAGAGCTTCAACAATGCTTGTATAAGCTTCTTATTTTAAAGGTATGATGCCTATCTTCACACATTCCATTCATGTTTACACATGAGCCATTTATTTTGCTATGGTCTACTTATTTCACTACTAATCACTTGGTTGTCCTTGACATCCTTGTGCATTCTGTACAATTGAACCTAACGAGGCTACTATTCTTTCAGAATGAAGAAGGGAAATATTCTTCACATGTAATCCTTCAAATTGGAATGCAAACACATATTCATTCTATAAGAATGAACTCGATTTTTTTTCTTTAATTTTTTTTTCATATAAGAATGCAAACACTTATTCATTCTATTAGAATGAAAATATTACATAAAACATGTGTTGCTAGTAATTCTCATAGAATACAATTATACATGCTTTAGAATGTTTATGTATATAGAAGAAAAGACTATGATTTAAGTGCAGTTTGTAATGTATTCTTTTAGAATTTATTTATATAAATGCATTCTGTTAGAATGTCTTTGAGAATGTTTGTTACCAACAAGTATATTTGTTTAACTGGTAATACTAACGAGTAATATATTAAACTTATTCTTTCAGAATTGCATGGAGAAGGAATTCAATATTGATCATACAAGAGAAATATTTGAAATCGAGGTCAACAACCAGTATATATGCGAAGATCAAGTGGATATTTTGTTAGAATATGTTAGAATATGTATAACTATATTAAAATGTATAAGGATATTAGTATGTAAGAATATGTATGAATTTGTATTTTATTTCGGATGTGTATTAAGAATAAAATCATAGACCCAACTTTGATGTATATGAATAATATCTAGAATTCTTAAATCAGGTAAATTATCAAAAAAATATATGCATTGGAAATATATTCTGCAAGAATAAAATCGAAAATATATTTACTAGTTTATGGTTGACATTCTGTCATTCTGAAAGAATAAAATCGGATTTATAAATTTGAATTAACTTAAAATAGTCAGATTTTTAAAAATAATGGAATTAATTATCCCTAAAAATCCGAAAATTTCCTTTTTTAATATAGGTTAATTGACTAAAATGCCCTTATTCTGAAATTTGTGTGATTATATGGTACATGGTACCCTATTGTAGTATCATAGACCCTCAGATCATGACATTTGATTCTATTCCATCCGGTGGTCCAGATTTATGCATTCTGGCACATAATAGTTACTAAAAACAAAATAACCTAAGCCTATATATATATATATATATATATATATATATATATATATATATATATATATATATATATATATATATATATATATATATATCAAGGTTGTAAAAATCGCTCGGCGGTCGACTGGCGATAAGCGATTAATCGGACTAGGCAGGGATTAATCTGATTAATCTGGGACCCTAAATTATTAATAAAATTATTTAAAAAATTAATATTTCCTAAAAAACTAAGTATTTGAAAATTTAAAAGTTTAAAATTTTGAAAATTTTAGTATAATATTTAAAAAGTTAAAAACTTAAAATTTTGAAAATTCAAAATTTTGGTGTAATATTTATAAATTAAAAATTTTTAATTTTAAAAAAATTTCCCGCCTATGACCGCCGAGGACCGCCAAGGGCCGGCAAGCCCGACTTTGACCGATTTTGACCAATTTTCGCCAAGCACCCTAATCATAATCGGTTCAAGGCCGCCAAGCGATTAATCGGCCGCCAATGCCGATTTCTGCAACACTGATATATATATATATATATATATATATATATATATATATATATATATATATATATATATATATATATATATAATTTCCAGCCCGACCCTATTCAGTATTTTAAGCATACAACAGAATTCGTAACTTAGACTGAGCTGAATCTAGACATTCTAAAAACTAGACTTGATTTACTACATCTTTGTTCTTGTGGTCATTTACTCTATTTCAAATGAGAATAGCCTCTAAAGGCCTTGAAAGACAGATGAACGAATCGGTGATTTGCAATCTTTACCAACATCACTATAAACTCCAAGATTAAGGGATAGGGTTTAGAATTATTCCATTTAGCACTCAACCAATCTTGATTGAAGATAATAATACATACTTTGAGATTATATATATATATATATATATATATATATATATATATATATATAGAGAGAGAGAGAGAGGGTATTGTTATGCATCCACTACATCATGTTATTTTAGATAGGGGTAGCTTGGGAAATCAACAAACAAAGAGCATCTTACTAGTGCATGGAGAATTAGGGGCATTTTATATTTTTAGTTTGTTATGTCAGATATAGTATAAGAGGGTAGTGGGCAAAGGAGTGAGGTAATCAATCCTTGTGTAAAATCTGGAAATATTTCCTGTGGGAGAGTAGCTATCTCGAATCAGCTAACCTATCATTTGTTCTTAAATCATTTGAGTAACAGTGAAGGAATTGCATTTTGTTCTTTACATTGATTGTTCTTGTTGTGTGTTACTCATTAGATTAAGTGAATTCATAACAAATGGTATCAGAAGAGCATTCATCTGGGATTAGGGCCGGAGATAAAAGGAGGGAAGGATGCTGGAGGAGCACTACTTAAGAGGGTGGAATGGCTAGAAACAGAAATAAGGCAGTTGTATGATCGAATGGAGAATCAAGGGCATCGGATCCAACATCAACTGCAGATGCACCAGAAGTTAGAAGAGATTTTAAGGCCATAGCCAATAGCCCTCCAGAAGAACCAATCGAAAAGAAATCAATGGGAGAAGGGCACAACAGTGACCCAGTTTGGTGGAGACAACGAAAGGGACAAACCCTGTCGGTATGGGATCCCGTGGAGGTTCAAGAAATGAAACAGGAGGTGGTTCCGGCGGCAGCCATACTACCGAAGGTGAATACAGAGGAGGGACCAACCGGAGATTTCACAAGCATGAGATGACTTTGATTGATGGAACTAACAAAGAGGAAAGGTCATTCTGCTCGTATGAGGATGAAGAAACGGTGGAAGTTGATGTGAGGTCCCGAGAGTGCGACACACTTTTCTATGAATGGGAGCATCGGAGGCAACCCATACGAGATTGGGAAGAGTTGAAGGGCCTTATTCGTCGATTCAGACCACCCACGTCATCACTACCAACATTGCGGGAATTGGAAGCAAGGAACGGGGAAAAGAGAGATTCGTTTTTGAACAAGGAAGGAGCAATCAGGGATCGTCGGAAGCTAGCGACGTTTTCTCATGTCGCCAAATGTGAGGTAACGGCTCCGTTAGAAGACGTAACAGAGGTAACGTTTCTAGGGTTTCACCAACCTAGGTTTAAAATGGACAAGTGGGCTGAAAGTCAATCTGAATCTGATAATTAGTTTATATGCCAAAGTTGACGAGAGTGAAAGCCCGACTGAAGTTAAAACGACTAAACCCCAATCGACAACGTATTCACAGGAAGGGCGCCTTCGCGACAACATCGACTGTCGAATTAGATATCCACACCGGTCCAAAAGGTTTCCTGATCCCGAAATCATGCTCAAGCAGCTCAAAATCTTCACTGGAATTCGACAACCCTATCTTGACCTAGTTAACGTCGATACTCTAGCTCACAGTATTTAATACTGGTTTCCCATCTTATTTCCTCCATCGGAAGTTGTTTCTCCAAAATCTCATAGCTCCAGCAACGTGTTCATACATGGTATCTGTCTTCAAGAATCTCTAGCGGGCATTAAAACCCTACACCTTCACAACAATATTTCCTCCGAGAGACAATCAAAGAAAGGGTATAAGTCAAAGCAAAGTGAAGACCAAAAATCTATAGAGAAAAATTCTTCAGTTGCAGGGTGTCAAGTCGGGAGTGATGAGGCAAATAACTTTGAGAAATACACCATGGGAGCCGCAATATCTGAGTTCAACCGTCATCCTGTAACTGCCATTGAATTTCTGAAATCAAATGGTTTGGTGGAGAATACACTGGTTTCAATTGTTCAATTTCTCAGAAATACCCCAAGCGTAGACAAGGCAATAACTAGTGACTACTTGGGTCAACACAAAGAGTTCTTTCTTGCCGTATCGTATGCTAATGTTGAATCTATGAACATTTCTTAAATCAAATTGCATACTGCAATCCGTAAATTTCTTAGAGGTTTCTATGTCTTCCTGGTGATAGATATAATGGAAAATTTTGCAGACTGTTACTGTGCAGGTCATCCGGTTTTTTTCGAGTTAAACCCTGAAGAATCTGCACCAACAGAGCTTCTGGAAGAAATAAAAATAAATGTTGATGAGCGTGGTAAGAAAATTGATCCGCAAATTAACATACCAGAACTACCATCTAGACTTGTATCTCGTCTCATTGAAGGCATAGCTCAAAATACAACCGTGAGCATATATTTTCATGAGAATGGTGGCAATGATGAGGCATTTGGATTCCCAACAGAGAAAGTTATACTTCAAAAGGGTGCTAGTAACAAACGGGTTGAACGAGTAGGTGTTTGTGGGGCAGTCTTATCTGAGAAGCTTAAGGAGGAGATTAAACTGAAGAAAATGAAGGATCGGGTGTATGAAAGTGATTGCATATAGGAGGGAGATCTCAATTATGTAGGTAACTTGACAAAACATAGAGTGGTTGAAGTGGGACAAGTGTGTGGATATAAGTATTGTTATGTTACTGCATACGGTGTGGTTGATTTGCTTGATCACCATATCATGAAGAATGAGATCGTTGAGAAGATTTGGAATAGTTGGGGTGTTCTTACTGTGGAAAAAGCTACTACCCAAACAATTGAGAAGACACTTCTAATGGGAAATGAGTTGAAAATGAGTAAGAAAGATGCCAACATAAGCAACGAGAAGCTACAAGAACAGTGGAAAAGTATGTCTGTGTTGGAAGCCACTTGGGAAGAGTTGGAAACTGTGCACCGCGTCCTACCTTCCTTTTTCACCTTGAGGACAAGGTGCATCTTTTGGGATGGGGTATTGCTAAGCCTTTAGTCAAGCTCAAGAAGGCTGATGGTTCTAATGACCATTACTTGCCTTCATGTTTGATTATTAATGGAGCAAGTGGAAGTGGATGGAATATATGTGGTGGCTACAGATCATTGTACATCGTATTTATCCACCTTGAGGACAAGGTGGTTCTTCGAGGGCAGGATATTGTTACGCATCCACTACGTCATGTTATTTTAGATAGGGGTAGTTTGGGAAATCAACAAACAAAGAGCATCTTACTAGTGTAGGGAGAATTAGGGGCATTTTGGGCATTTTATATTTTTAGTTTGTTATGTAAGATAGTATAAGTGGGTAGTGGGCAAAGGAGTAAGGTAATTAATCCTTGTGTAAAATCTAGAAATATTTCCTGTGGATGAGTAGCTATCTCGAATCAGCTAACCTATCCTTTGTTCTTAAATCATTTGAGTAATAGTGAAGGAATTGCATTTTGTTCTTTACATTGATTGTTCTTGTTGTGTGTGACTCATTATATTAAGTGAGTTCATAACAGGTACTTTGGTCTTTAAATACTCCCTCCGTCCCATATTAATAGTCCATGTTTCCTTTTTGGTTTGTTCCAAAATAATATCCTACTTCTAAAAATAAATATCATTTTTACCAAAATACCCCTCATTATTAGTTAACCTACCATGGAATTAAATGAAACAAAAAGATGGAACTAAATGCAACAAAAGGGTACAATTGTCATTTCATTTAATAAAATTAGTGGTAATTAATGTTTTCTTAATCTGTGTGTTTTTTGTTTGTGGACAATAATTTTGGGACGGAGGGAGTTCAAAAAAAAAAAAAAAAAAAAAACAGATAAACTACACATATTCTAGAAGGGGTAATTCAGTAAAAGACAAGTAATCAGATCGTTTTTCTGTTGAGGGCAAATCTGGTATTTACGTTTTTGTTGATGTGTCCAGATACTATAAGTAGTGGGTGGGTATCTGTTCTGGGAGGGAGAGACTAACCTCTTATATGTGCTAGAGACTTTTATCATTGTGTTAAGTTTTTGGTGAATTAAGTAATACAGATTTTTGAGTTGTTTGATTAAGTATTTTATCAACTGTTTGTGTGAGACTCACTAGAGCTTAGCAGTTACTTGAACCCCTGATTTAGGAATGGTGAAATCCATGAAACATAAAATTGTTTGGCAATAAAACACGCATTTTGAAAGGATTAAATCTGGAAATAAAAGGCACCCCTAGGGTTTAGGAAAAAACAGTATACCTCTAATTTAGAGAGAAGGATACCTGAGGAGCCCATGGTTGGTGGGGGTGGGAGAACCCTGGTCGATCATGCATATATGGAGGGGGAGGACGATCATCAAAGCGGTTGAAAGAGGAGGAGTACCTTCCCATTCCCATTCCCATGTATGATGATGGAAAGGGTGGGCCATGATCAGGATTTGGATTTGGATTTGGATGATGATTCATGGAGGGAAATGCATCCCGAAAGTAATGATTCCGCAAGGCTGTGGTTATTTGAAAAAGGGCCTCCTGAACTGCATCAAAGTCACCATTTATCTGGCTCAAAAAATACATGGTTAGTGTGTCATCATTTCTCAAATCTATACAGCACTCAACAGAGAGAGAATAATAAAAATAACAAACCTGAACTACTTCTTCATTTTCAGCAGCATACTGTGGAGTTTGATCCTTTCCTAAAATACGAATAAAAGCCCCAGTTGAGTTTCTCATTTCAGATATAACTGCACCACCCTTTCCAAGGATACATCCAATCTGATGTGCAGACACTATGACTTTTGCTGTCACTGCCTTGGTCTCAGGTGCAGCCCTAAATATCCTTGTCTGTACACGAAGAACTGCATCTTGGGGAGCACATATCCGCTCATCTGGGACCTACAATATATATATATATATATATATATATATATATATATATATATATATATATATATATATATATATTTCACATCACTAGTAAGTAGGGTTAAATCCATCTCTTCAATGTAAGTTGATATATATCTATATGTATATAATAAACTAAAGTATACAAAACAATATCAGATTGAAATTTGTAAAGCAGAATGGTATAATTGGGTACCGCTGGTCCAGATATGACAATGATGCGGTCATCTGACCCAACACTTCTCTCAAGGACTTTAATGTCACATCCAGTCTCGTGCTTAAGTGCCTTCACGGTGGCCCCTCCTTTTCCAATTACACCTCCCACCTTCTCATCAGGGCATATCAAACGGTAGGTTAGCATGTCTGTGAAAGGACCAAAACGCCCTCCCTCACGATGCCCTGCTCTTCCATTTGGATGATGTTGTGGATGTGGGTCTTGCTCACAAATATTATTGCTATTGTTGCCAGGCAAAGAACCACTCTTGTCCCGAGGTCGAGCTGGAGCTGGATGATCCAGAAGCTGCTGTGAAACAGATTCAAGCGCTTTCCTAACTGCACTCACTTCTCCAGAAATCTGTTATTTAAGAAAAAAAAAAAAAAACAAACTTTGTGAGTTTGATGGTAGCAGCATGGATTTAGATAAATCTTGATTGAAAAATAAGAGCTTACCTGAACCAATTCGTCAGAAGAAGATGCACATGCAGGAAGTTTATCCCTAGGAAGAATCCTTATTTGGGCCCCGCTTTCAGAAGCCATTTGCTTGATTACACCACCAGATTTTCCCAAAAGGCAGCCCACTTGAGTAGAAACTACAAGTAGCCTCACAACAAATGTTTCTTCATTCATCTCTGCTTCTCCTTCCACCATTCTTTCAAACACACAAAACAGACCCTTCTGCACACAAGAAGCCAAATCTTCCTCATGTTTTTCTTCATCATCAGCTTCCTTCTTCTGATCCTTTGAGATTCCATCAGATCCTTCAATCACAATTACTCTCTCATTGCAGCCAGGGATTGTTTCCTCAACCCTCACATTTGCACCAGGTATCTTGTTGCCTTCTTTTCCAATTAAACTTTCAGTTTTAGAAGCAGGACAAACCACCCGAAAAACAATAAATGATGTATTTTGGGAAGTAATATCAGTTGACTTCTGCAACTTCCCTTTTCCATTGGCTTCTGAGGCCTCACCCTCATCAAGGCCCCTCTTCGAAGGCGTTAATTGAGATGACATATCAAACCCTAGTACCAAATGAAAAGAAATTTTAAAATTATTGTTGTTGATTGAAAATTATAAATTCTTGTCAATATTTCGGAAAAGTAAGCTGCTAGAATCAGTTAAGATTCATAATTCACCAGATATAAACAACTGTTGATTACAATCAGGGAGTAATGATAAGTCCATATCTTCAATTCCTAATACAATGTATCACACTACTAACTGGCACAAGATTATTGTTTAACATGAGTTCAGTTTGGTGTTTCCATTGGCATCCAAGAAAAAAAAACCTAACTATAAAATTCCAGCCGAAAAAAACCATCTTTCAATTCTATACTATATGTATATAGTGTGTATACAGACAGTCCTCAATAAACCAAATAAACAGTACACAAATTGTGGGTTCAAATAATTCCTGATGTTGAAAAATACACTTATACACACATATGCTAGTGTAAACACTAAACAGATTGCGAAAAGGACTTGACCTAGGTTTCCAGGATACCTTTCTCGGCGAAGACGACGAATGATGATGGAGAGAATGATAGCACACTCGTCAACTGCTTGCGAAGAGTTATCTACGCGCCAAAAGAGTGATTTAAGCGGTGGGCTATAAGGTGGCTGTTTGGTGGTGGCGTCGCAACTCTGGACACGGTGAGTCACGAGGGAGGAAAGCTTTCAGTCAAGAGTGATACGGGTCACGTGCATCTCACTAGTAACTAAAAGTTACATATCGGTCCCTCAATTTTCACAAAACTATAGGATTGGGTACTGATGAGCTTTAGAACCGGACCGGAACCGAACCGGTTTTCCTATATTATAAGAACCTGGAACCGGACCGCCGGTTCTAGCGCCGGTTCCGGTTCCGGTCCCGGTTTTTCGGTTATTTTTTAAACTAGAACCGGTTGAAATATTATATATCATATGTTATCTTCTGGAGCCAGTAAATGATTCAATATTTAACCAAATTATGGTTTTTTACATTCTAAATTGAAGTACAAACACTAAATTACATGATGAAAAAAGAATCAAGTAATTCCGTTTTCATATGAGTGAGTTATGCGCATTTTAAAAACGAGACAGATTCCAAAAAAAAAATTGTTGAAACAGAAAATACGCAACATTGATATGTTGTCTTCCGAGATCTATAACTGATTCAATATCTAACCAAAATATGTGTTTTTATAGTCTAAAATGAAGTACAAAGACCACATTACATGTTGGAAAAAAATTAAGTAATTCCGATGTCATATAAATGAGTTATGCACATTTAAAAAAAGGGGACAGATTCAAAAAAACAAAAAAAAATGTTGAAATAGAAAAAACGCAGCATCGATATTCTTTCTTTCGGGGCATGTGTCTGATTCAATATCTAACCAAAACATATGTTTGTACAGTCAAAAATGAATTACAAACTTCAAATTACATGTTGGAAAAAAATCAAGTAACTCCGACTTCATATGAGTGAGTTATACGCATTTTAAAAAACGGGAAAATGTCAAACCGGTTCCGGTTTTTAGAACCGGAACCGGTTTTCATAAAAATGAAGAATCGGTAACCGGACCTTATTACCAATTCCGGTTCCGGTCCGGTTCCGGCGGTTCTAATGCTCATCCCTAGGATTGGGTGGTTAGGGAGAACGGAGTCGTGGAGCGGGGAAATCGTGGGTTAGGGTGGTACCACCGGGTTGTATTTTTTTGACTGGCGGCTCTAGTGGGTTTGAGGAGTTATTTAGTTGTCAAAGGATTGGTAGACCTGTGAATTTGTGTTCAATGCATGCATGTGAAGAGAAAATATATGTCTGTTCTTTTTTGTTTTCATGCATCTCGTGAAGACCAAAACTGCATTTTTATTTTATTTTTTATTTATTTTGTTTTTTATATAATTGTGTATATATGTATCAACATATCCCACTTCACTCAATTTTATATAAATTTCTCTAAAAACTTTCCAATTTAGTTATCTTCAATGGATTCCCGAGACAAAAACTAAAAAGGTCAATTTTAGCCAAATACGTAAATCCATGCAAGGCGGTTCAAGTCAAGATATTTCATTTTCTTCTCCAAATTTTCAAAACCCAAACCATTAACAATATCAAAACTATCAACAAAACCAAACTATCCACAACATAATTTCCCGGTGCAACAATCTTACAACACATATATTTTTTTTTCAGAGGAAAACGCGGTTATAATCCATTTATGCGGTTTTCTCAAAAGGGTTCCAGAAACTCAATTTCAATCTTCTCATCCCGAGACTTTCCAGTTTCGTGATGCTCAGAACAACAATTCTAGTGACAACCCGGTTGCCCAAAGAAATGAAGAAGTCGAAGAACAAGCCAACGAGGAGTTACAACCCGTTTTTGAGAAAAAAAAACGCAACTATACAAAGCGCCAAAAGTCAAAGAAATGAGTGGTACGTGAAGAGTTGGTTTTGGTTAGGGCATATGTCGGTGTTTACAAAGATAAACAATGAGGAAATCAACAAAGGTCGATGCATTGTGGGAGCGGATTCTAGAGAATTTTAATGTTCAACTGGGAGGTTCGGATCGGTCACAACACCAAGTAAACTCAAAATGGAAAAACCTTCAAAGGAAATGTAACGATTCCAACTGCATCTATAACCTTAGCAAACCAATTTTTCTCATTGATTATGTGGCACGTAGATTTGATGAAAATTGGGAAAAGGGAGTTAAGAAAATAGTGTAATTTTTTTAAAAGTTGGAAAAAAATTAAGAAAAAAAATTCTATAAACCATTATAAAGAAAATCCTAAAAAAAAGTTGTTGAAAAATAAATTAGTAAATTTGGGACGAATTTGTAACAAAATTTTTAATTTTGACCAAATTTATAATAAAATTTAAAGTCTAGGCCAAGAGTGTAATTTTAAAAGAGTTGTTACATATTCAACTATTCAAACTGAGATAGTATGTAATCATACATGAAATATGAGTTGGTTATCTTGTTAAAACATAAAATCAATTAACTAACTGACAATTTTAAGACATTCTAAAAAGTTAATTTCCAAATGACGGTAATAACTTTTTTAAAATTAAAGAAAATGAAGGAAAGAAATAGGAGGAAAGTAGCGGTGTGCATTTTATGGTTTGGAACCGAAGAGACCAAAAATTAAATCAAACCGAAAATCGAATTCGGGGGAAATCAAATTTCAAATTTGGTTTTCGATTTGATTTCAAACCAAACTGAATTAGAAAATTGGTTTATGATTTGAGTTACAAATCGAATTATTGAATTTAATTAATTATTTTTTATTAATTAACTATTATATTTTTTATAATTTAAAATTTAATAGAAAAGTTAAAATACCTAGTTTGATATTTAATATTTCACTATACATCGACTTCCCAATTCTAAAATCCCAAAAGTTTCCTTCTTTAATTCATTCTTCCCATCTTCTGTTACATTTCCTTTGATCTATATGTGATGTCTGAAACTTTGAAGAACTACTCGGACAACTATCAACGATCCAATCAACGAGTAGGTGCTCCAAACACGAAACGACCTATAATGCTATAGTTGATCATAAACTAAGAAAATCTGATAACAAAAAGCTAGATACTTCACTAATCCCAATATCATTATTCGACTATCAAATAAAGGTTAGCCAGTCAAGATAGTCGGGAGGCATGATTATTTTGGCATATAGCTTTTCTGAAATCCAACAACCAGGCCAAATGTGTCTATCCTAGACACCGCACCCGTAAGTAGATCAATCAGTATAATAACTCGGAATAATGAATACTCTAATACACAGGATCATAATACCGACAATGGGTATGTTCCATATCAAGTTATACTTAAACAAAAATGTAACTTACCTGATTGACGAGATCTGGATAGCCACGAGTAGAACTCCGATGCTTGATCCTTCTCCCGAGGATTCTCCCAAAACTTCCAGCGCTTCGTTACCGAAACTACAAAATGAGAATTCGAATCAAGAGGGACCGAAATGATTAAAGGTGTGTGTGTGTGAGAGAGAGAGAGAGGGGAGAGAGAGAGAGAGAGAGAGAGAGAGAGAGACTCTAGAATAAAGAATGATGCAAAGAAATGAAGAGCCCTATGTTGGTTTTTATTCAAAATCGGTTTTCTAAAAACAGCAACAGAAGCTTTAGAATTGAATGTTGGATTTTATTCAAAATCGGTTTTTAAAAAATGACAATGGAAGCTTTAGAATTGAATAAAATTATAATTCTTTTTAACCAAGGATCATTTTGTAGAGCATGGAAATATCAAATCAACCATAGAAGGAAAAGTCTTACAACCTTTGAAGACTTTGATTCTCATGGGAGATGGATGTTGATAAAGTGATGCATGAAGCTCTCTACAAATATCCATCAATCAAGGATAAACCACCAAAGATGTTAGTCTTCACTTGTATATAAGTTGTTCTAAATCCTTAAGACATATACCAAATAAGTCTTAAGGAGAAGCAACTTACAAGCACTCTAATATCACTACAAATGCAAGAAGGAAGAGAGGGGAGGGCCTAAAGGCTCTCGGTTTTGGCAGCAAAAGAGAAGAAGAAAAGAATGAAAAACTAAGCTAGTTTTTGAATAATACTCTTCTTTATATACTTATCCAAATGTACTAAGTCAATACTAGAAATTAAGGAAAGCATAGGCTGACAAGTATAGGGTTGAAAGAAACAAAGCAACACACAACCTCTTATCCAATAGAAGAAGTTAAAGTTTTAGCATGACAAATTCAAGACCAAAGTGTGTGTTATACTCCATCTCATAGTAGTAGTTACATTGCAACTAAATGGTAACTCTAAGTGCCCAAAAAGTTATACACAATATACATATTCATACCTCACAAATATAACTAGTTTTTGTTCTCTTTTGTTATTATTTCTTAGAGACAATAATTTCCAATATGTTGGTAAAATATTATTTTCATAAAATAATGTTTTTCAAATTAATTACAAGTGTTGATTATATTTATTAATAATCAAATTACTTTAGTAAACAATTAATTAGTAGTAACTTGCTATAAAGTGTGGACATATAGGATCATATGTCATTAGCAAATATCATTCTATAATGACTCTTAGGCATACAAATCTTTCATTCTCCCACTAGCACAAGATACATCATAGATTGATAAAGACAGTGGTGAATGTCTAGCAACATTTCACTGCCTCCAATAACACACAACGAAGAATGTCATTCATCAACATCCAATCCTAGAAGCTCAAAGTTGCAATTGATGTAGAAGTTAAGTGTTGGGTCTATATGCTCAAGAATCATTATTGAGTGATATTTCTAATAACATATGATCATATAGGGTCACACCTTTATCAAGTTGGCACCTATTTAATATTTATCGAGAATTTGATTAAATAATATCAACTCTTGTATTTAATTAGGGAATAATTATTTTTTATGAAAATAATAATAAAAGGAAACGCAAACTAGTAATTATATCATATGGTATGATTAATAAGTCATGTACAAATGTTTTGGACACTTTTGTAAACCATGGACTTACTAGTTGTTTGTGTCTTATGGTTAAAGAAACTTGGAAACATTTTTTGTCTTTTTATTACCTCATGGTCGAAATATATAGAGGCATGGGAGGTTGCTTGTCAACCTCCATCTTCTTGTTCCCCATGCTTACTTTAATAGCTTATACTTTATGTTTAAATAATGGGCAGGATTTACTTTGCATGGGGTATTTAAATAAGTGTATTGCATGAAAAAAATCACTTCTTCTTTGGCTTAGGGAACTCCAAAAAATCGTAGCTCCCTTCTCTCTTCATCTTTACATTCTTTTGAAGCTAGTTGTTGGTGTTAAGTGCTTCACTTTGTGTCTTCCTTTAGTGCTTACTTTAATAAGCACTTAAAGACTAAAAGAACAAAGTATTACAAGAGGAAACTAGCATTTCATGGTTCCTTATTCTTGATGGTGGATACTTGTAGAGAAGATCAACTTTTTTGATATTTCTATTTTCATCAACACCCCAAAACCAAGTGGGTTCAAAGGTTCCAAAGGTTGTCATTCTAAAACACTTTATGGTTGTTTTTAATATCATTTTAACCTCTATGAATGGATCCTAGATGGTTTGGTTTTTTTATAAACTTTGTTGATGCATGGAAGTGACCCTCTGCAGCTATGAAGTGTATTGAAGGACCGAAGACTTGTTTGTTGGTTGCGGTAATATTCTTGTTATGTTGATCAGTTACGAAGAGTTGTGATATTTGATACTGAAGACTTGGAATTACGTAGTGAAGGATGTTGAACCGAAGGAGATTATGTTTTGTCTTTTGTATGCCAAAGTGTCAGAATAGTAATGTTCACCTTTTCTGACATTGTGTGTTAGATGAGTTTTGTCAATCTAGGCGTGGCAAGCATGGGCGCCTGAGTTAGGAGTATTCTAGTATTTATCATGTACTCAGTTTTACTATAAATAGATGATCATGTTGATCGATTTATTCACCACTTCTCAGACTTTCATTGTATTACTCCTTATTGAATACAAGTCTTCATTATCATCATTATCTCTTGCTTATGTTGTTCATCAATTACTAACTTGTGTTTGAATGCAAACCTTGATACGATTCAACTAAGTATGATTACTTGTTTATGTTTATTGATTAATCTTCTTGTTATATTCTTCCTTATTATTCCACATATTTCTTATTGTTGAACTTACTAAAAGATCCCTTGAGATTAACTTACATTTCCACAATCAATATCTCAACTTAAGTTTCTCTCTCAACAATTGGTATCAGAGCTATAGTGGTTGCTTTTTAATCTTCTT